CCACCTTAGGTGTATGTGGCTGGCGCCTTAGCCGCTTGAGCCACAGGCGCCGAGCCTATTCAATATATTTTTTATAGGACTATTTAGATTTTCTTTTCTTGAATGAGTTTTGATTTTATCTTTCTAGAAATCTGTCTATTTCATTTAAATTATCTAATTATTCAATTATGCAATTGTTTATAACATTCTTTTAAGTGTTTTGAAGCATCTTAATTTGTTGAATCATCACAATAAGCCTGTGAAGGAAGTATTATTATGATCCTAATTTTATAGGTGAAAAACTGAAACACAGAGAGTTAACTTTCCTAAGGTTACCCAGCTAGTAAATAGAGGAGCCAGGATTTGAATCTAGGCAGTCTAGCTCTATAACATATGTTTGTACCATAACTAGACAATCTGAAGACTACCTCTAAAAGTTCTTGTCAGGAGGGATCTGGAACATGTTAGGCAGACCCTTTTGAGGCACTTTATCTCTCTTTTAAAAAAAAAAACAATTTAGTGATTTTGTTTTTTTGAAGTAGGGTCTTACTCTGTTGCCCAGGCTGGAGTGGAGTACAGTGGTGAGATCATAATTTATTGCAACCTCAAATTCCTGGCCTCAATTGATCTTCCCACCTCATCCTTCAGAGTAGCTGGGATTACAGACATGAGCCACCATGCCAGGCCCAGTGGTTTTTATTCTAGTTATACCGCCATCACCACAATCTAATTTTAGAACTTTTGAAACTTCCCCCTCAAAAAACACCCAGACCTATTTGGAGTTCCTTTCCTTTCCCAGTTTTCCTTTCTGCCTCCTGCCCCTATTTCAGCATCAGGTAAACACTAATCTATTTTCTATTGTGGATATACCTCTATGGATATGTATGTCTTGGATGTTTCATATAAATTGAATTATATGATATCTGGTCTTTTGTAAGTACTTACTCTTCCTGTTCAGACTGGTGATTATATTTGTCTTCATTTCTCTCTTTTCTTATTCTGATTTCTAATCTTCCAATGATTTGGTCTCACTAGGTTAGTCACTATAATTGGATATGAAATCCTATTCAAAACAAAGCTTTGCATCTGACACATATGACAAATTTTTATTTTGGTCTTTTTACTACCTCCATTTAGAAAGTGACTCCTGAATAGCCTAAGGAGAAGCGAATGTGGTTAGATAACACCAATGTTAATTACTAGCCTGCCTCTCTCATTGGCCTTCAAATAATATTAATTTTAACCTGTATGTTACTGAATGCCTGAGAGTGATAGATGAAGAAAAAAAATGCAGCTAGTAAGGGAGACTAATGTATAGGTAGATAATTCATACAGTGTGCTAAGTATTATAATAAAATCCTTTAAATACAAATGAAGGTAATCATATGTGAGAAAGCATAACATGGATTTCAGGGAAAAAATTTGTAGGCCTTAGAAACTATACAGTGCACTACTTACCTGATTCACCATGGTACCCACTGATTTCTTTTTATCCTCTACTGTCATGGTAACCAGTGGTTTTTTTTTTTTTTTTTAACCCTTTACCCTTTACCTGTCTTTTGGGGTTGAAGTCCTTTCCCCTTGCATACCTTTAGTAAGTATAGCAACAAAATGAGTTGGTAGATGAGGATCCTGGGAACTACATTTTTCTTACTCAGACATTGTTTCTTTTATAGGTATAAACCGAAACCCTCACCACTAATGTCCTCTACCCCCTTGCTACCAAACAACATGGAGCAACCACTTATTCTGGAGCTATCCACCAACTCCAAAACACCCACTACTGACAAGGCATTGCCCTTCACAAAGCCATTAATTTTAAAAGAGGAAGCCACTACTGAAGAGACAGCCTTCATCAAGAAGTCATTATCTTTAAAGAAGTGCACAAATCACGAGGAGGTATCCCTATTGGTGAAGCCACAATCCTTGCAGGAAGAGACCGACAAAGATGATAAGTTTTTTACAGAACCAATGACTTCTAGGAAAAAAAATAAAACTGAGGAGGTTGCCATCACCAAGGGGACGTTATCCTTAAACAAGAAGATGTATACATATCAGGGAAAGCAGTCTTCCCAGGAGGAGTTGCTAGCATTGCAGGACATCAGTGTTGAAAAGGATTCCTTCTCTATGGAGTCAATGAATTTTGGGAAGAAGCCTAAAACTGAGCAGTCAAACCCCACAAAGAAGCCATTATTATTAAAGAAAAATAAATGTACCACTCTGGGGATGATACCTTGCTTGAAGAAGCCACTAGTATTGCAGAAGACCACCTCTGGAGAAAAGTCACTCATGAAGGAGGCATTGTTCCTTAAGAAGAAGCCTACTACTGATGAGTCCCTTTTCCAGGAGCCATCTGAATTGCAAGAGAAAGATATCACTGAACAGGAAATGCCCATCTTAAAGAAATCATTGGCCTTGCAGGAAAAGACGAACTTTAAAAAGGATTCCCTTATTAAGGAGTCACTGGCCTTTAAGAAGAAGGCTACCACTGAGGAGGCCCCTATGAGGCCATTATATTTAAAGAAGAAGTGTATAACTCAGGGTAAGATTTCCCACTTAAAGAAGCCAATAGTATTTCAGAAGACTACCTATGGAGAGAATTCACTCACTACAAATCCATTGTCTATTAAAAAGAAGCCTGCAACTGAGGAGTCTTTGATCCAGGAGCCATCTCCATTGCAAGGGAAGCACACCACTCAGGGAGAGGTGGACCTCTTGCAGAAGCCATGGGCATTGCAGGGAACTATCAACAGTGAGGATAACCTTGTTATGGGGATAGTTTCCTTTAAGAAGCAGCATACTACCAAGGAGTCTGCTCCCACAAAGAAGCCATTACCTTTAAAAAAGAAAGCTACTACTCATGAGAAGATGTACTGCTTGAAGAATCCACTAGGATTGCAGAAAACTATCTCTGGAGAAAAGTCACTCATGAAGAAGCCATTGTCCTTTAAGAAGAAGCCTGCTACTGAGGAAGAGTCCTACCATCAGAAGCCATCTGCATTGCTGGAGAAGCACACCACTCAGGGAAAGGACCACACCACTGAGGAGGAGTCACTTTTTAAGGAGGCATTGGCTTTTAAGAAAAAGCGTACCATTGAGGATACAACCCCCACTAAGAAGCCTTTACCTTTAAAAAAGAAGCACACCACTCAGGGGACAATGTCCTGCTTGAAGAAGTCACTAAAACTGCAGAAGACCACCTCTGGAGAAAAGTCACTTATTAAGGAGCCATTGTCCTTTAGAGAAGAAAAAGTTTCTTTAAAGAAGAAAGAGTGTACCACTCAAGTAATGACATCTACCTGGCAAGAGCTTTTGGACTCGCAGGATGTGAGTGGAGAAGATAAGAATTCCTTCTTTATGGAGCCAGTGTCATTTAGAAAGAATCCTACAACTGAGGCAGCAATCCTCACCAAGAGACTACTGTCTTTAGAGAAGAAGAAAATTACTCAGGGAGAAGTGTTTATCTTAAAGAAGCCACTGATCTTGCAGAAGACCACCACTGAAGAAGAATCACTCTATAAGGAGCTGTTGCCCTTTAAGAAGAAACCTACAACTGAAGAGGAGTTCCTCTTTCATGAGCCATCCGTGCTGAAAGAGAAGCACATTACTGTGAAGGAGGTTTCCCTCTCAAAAGAGTTATTGGCCTTGCAGGACACTACCACTGAAGAAGAATCATATATTAAGGAACTATTGACCTTGGAAGAGAAACCTGCCACTGAGGAGGAATTCCTCTTTCAGGAGCTATTTTCATTGCATGTTAAGCCTAGCAACAAAGATGAGTCTTTCTTCCAGAAGATGCTGGTCTTGCAAACGAAGACGGATACCAAAGAAGATTCCTTGAAGAACCTGTTGGCCTTGCAGGAGAAAAGCACCACTGAAGATGAATCCCCTTCCAAGAAGCTCTTGGTTCTGAAGAAGGAGCCCTCCACTGAGGCAGTAAAAAGCACAGAGAGGCAATTATCTTTAAAGAAGAAGCCCACTGCCCAGGAGGAGGTATTCCTCTTAAAGAAGCAGCTGGCCTTGAATGAGAACATCACTACTGATGAGGAGTCTCTTATTAAGCAAACATTGGCCTTGCAGAAGTATCCCATCATTGAGAAGGAGGTCCTCTTCAAGGACCCCTTTGTTATGCAGGAGAAGCCCAGTGTTGAGGAGGAGGCTATCCTCAAGGAGCCTACCACTGACGCAGAGGCTCACTTTAAGGAGCCTTTGGCCTTACAGGAGCAGCCCAGCATTGAGGAGACTTGCTTCAAGGAGCCTTTAGCTTTGCAGGAGAAGCCAACAATTGAGGAGGAAGCAACCCTGAAGGAGCCCATGGCCATGTGGGAGAATCCCAGCATTGAGAAAGAGACCCTCTTTAAGGAGAATTTTGTCTTACAGGAGAAGTCTACAATGGAGGGAGAGATTCTCCTCAAGGAGCCCTTGGCTTTACAGGAGAAGCCCAGCATTGAGAAGGAAGCCCTCTTCAAGGAGCCATTAGCCTTGCAGGAGAAACCTGCCATCACTGAAGCATTCCTTTTGACAAAGATATTACCTTTGAGTGAGAAATCTACCACTGGGAAGGAGTTGTCTTTCAAAGAGCTATTGGCTTTGGATGAGAATCCCACTCAAAAGGAAGACACCTTTCTCAAAACATGGATCTCCGAAGTTAATACCATCCCACAGGTATCTATCATTGCCCCTGAATACAGAACAGGCAAGTCCAGCACTGCTACTGTGTCTAGTGTGGGCAAGCCCAGTACCAGCAGTAAGTCTAGCACATGTGAATTTGGTTCCAATAATCTTTTCTCACCACAGGATGAGAGAACACCAAAGGAGGTATTTGTATCTTTTTGTTAAATTAGATGAAGTGTTCTTTGTTGTCCTTGAGGTAGCAGCAGGCCAAAGAGGTTATTTTTTTGTTGTTTGTTTGTTTGTTTGTTTTTTGCCTTCCTAAGCTACTGAGCCATAGATATTAACTTATCAGAGAGATCCCTCTGCCTAGCTAGAGGATGACATTTCGTATATCACCTATTTAATGATAGGTGATACAGGATCACTTCTTTTCACCTTTTGTAGCCTGAAATTACCCATGATATAAGATAAACTTACTAGGGTCTTTGGTACTTTTCTCTTAAATCAAGTTGGCCTTCTAGAATCTCTTGACTTTCTTATTGGCATAGTGATAGATCTAAGCAATCAGAAAGTATTTATTCCAGAAATACTCACAAGGGTCTGAAATGTTGTGCTTGGGCTTTGTAATACAAATTAAATAATTTCAGGAAAATGCCTAAGTAATTGCAATAAGTTGTAATAAGTAATTGCATCATAGTGGGCTTCAGTCAAAGATGGGCAAAGGTTCACCAGGGCATCTAAAGAAGGTGGTTTTTAATTTACAATTTTGAAGAATGAAGGAATGTGATTTAGCAAGCAGGAGGATAAATGTCCTACCTTTAGGCAAAACAACCTGGGTAAAGGTATAGAAGGGAGGAACAGGCTACCAAGAAGATGAATTGGTCCAGATAAAAGCATTGAGACATAAGGGACATAATAGGGGACCTAAGAAGACAGATGACATAGCTAAAATAATAAATATCCTTCTTGGAGAGGGTTTTTTTTTTTTTTTGAGACAGAGTCTTACTGTGTTGCCTTAGGTAGAGTACCATGGTGTCACAGCTCACAGCAACTTCAAACTCTTGGGCTTAGGCCATTCTCTTGTCTCAGCCTCCCAAGTAGCTGGGACTACAGGCGCCCGCCACAGTGCCTGACTGTTTTTTGGTTGTAGTTGTCATTGTTTGGCAGGCCCAGGCTGGATTTGAACCCACCAGCTCTGGTGTATGTGTCTGATACCCTAGCTGCTGAGTTACAGGTGCTGAGCCTCTTGGAGAGTTTTGAGCTTACCTGTAAAAAGGCTGCCTTGTGCCTAACAGAGTAGGCATGTATAAGGAAGACTAGGCATTTCTTGATCAGTAGGTAGTTGAGGATTATCAAGTCAAGGGATACTCTTATAGCCTAGGATATATGAAGCTTGAGAAACCTTAGCAGAAGATGATGGCAGGGAGAAAGGAATCATCCTTGATGTGTGGGGGCTAAGTCTTGGAATCATTCTCCTCATAACATTTTTTTTTTTTTTTTTGGTGATTTCCAAGCAGATGACTCCCCTACTGGAAGATATTGACAACTCAATATATGACAAGGATATCTTCAGTTACATGAAGGAGAGAGAGGTTTGTAGGTGGCTGGGAAGTAGGTGATGATTTCTAGTTCTCATTCCCTCATCATTCCATCTGCCAGCATGCAATTTGAAAACTAATATCTATTGGTAGCTTATTATGAGTTGGACATTGTACTAAGGGATTTATAGTTATTATCTTGCTTAATTCTCTCAGTGACTTCATGATGAGTAGGTATTATTATCTCCCTTTTACAGATGAGGAAACTGCCCAAAGTCATAACTTGTATCCCAGAGCTGGGATATGGACTAAAATCTTATTACCTTGGAGACCATAATCTTTTTTTTTTTTTTTAAGACGGCGTCTCAAGCTATACCCCTGGATAGAGTACCATGGCCTCACAGCTCATAGCAACCTCCAGCTCCTGGGCTCAAGCGAGTCTCCTGCCTCAGCCTCCCAAGTAGCTGGGACTACAGGCGCCCGCCACAGCGCCAGCCATTTTTTGGTTGCAGCCATCATTGTTGTTTGGCGGTCCCGGGCCGGGGATTCGAACCCGCCACCTTAGGTGTATGTGGCTGGCGCCTTAGCCGATTGAGCCACAGGCGCCGAGCCGAGACCATAATCTTGCCACTCTCCTTACTAAGAAAACAGTCTCAGACATAAACATGGTCAAGTAGTCTCCAAATGTTAGTTCTTAGAGATCTTTTTTCTTTACATATGCATGTTTCTGTTATTATGTGTAAAATCATACCCTTTGTTTCGGCTATCCAACCTGGTGAAGTTTTCTTCTTCTTTTTTTTTTTTTTTTTGAGACAGAGCCTCAAGCTGTCCCCCTGGGTAGAGTGCATTGGCATTACAGCTCACAGCAACCTCCAACTCCTGGGCTCAAGTGAGTCTCTTGCCTCTGCCTCCCAAGTAGCTGGGACCACAGGCGCCCGCCACAACGCCCGGCTATTTTTTGGTTGCAGCTGTCATTGTGTTTGGCGGGTCCGGGCTGGGGATTCGAACCTGCCACCTTAGGTGTACGTGGCTGGTGCCTTAGCCAGTTGAGCTATAGGCGCCGAGCCTGAAGTTTTCTTCTTTGAAACCTGTTAGTCTCCTTTACCACTAATACTTATCAATTCAAAAGTTTCTTCTGTCTCTCAGAACAGAAAAGATAAGACCAGGATTATCTGTCAACTAGAATTTTTAGCAGGCCACATAGAAGCGGGTGGGTGAATGTCCCATCTTCTCTCTAGAGAGAGTATGATTGGTTCACTGCCTTACTTCAAAGCCTATACTTTTTCTAGTATACCTTGGAGGAAATAAGAGACAACTTTGTTAATCCTTGGCTCAGCAGTATCAGTTCACTTAGGATATTATTAGAAATGCAAAAACCTAGCCCCATACCAGATCTTCTAAACCAGAGTCTGAAGTTTTATAACATGCCCAAGTGGTACATATGTATGTTAAAGTTTGAGAAGCACTGCTCCACATAGCATGGTATTATGCTTTAGATTGAACTGCAAAGAAGGGAAAGAACCTTTCTGGCATTCATCTGTAGCCGTAGGTGTGTTTCTGCCCTTATTCCTCCTGGACTCCTCGATACCCACTCTGACACTTGAATATAATATGTGCCTATTTCCCAAGGATAACTGGACCTTGCCTGGAAAAGGATACTTTGATTTGCCCCTATCTGATACCAACTGAAAATAGTGAGTTAGAATTGTGAGAGAAATTAATTGTTAAGTTATAATTTTGAACTACAAGAAGAGTTTATTTATTAACATTTCTTTCTTATCACTGCCAGGAAAACTTCATACTTAAAAAATACATGGACAGGCAGACTGAAATCAACAGTGCCATGAGGGCCACTCTTATAGACTGGCTGGTGGAGGTACAGGTAAGCCCAAGAACTGCTGCCTTAAGGAGGCACTATTCTTTCTTGGTTCAGCACGGCCAGGCAAAAACATGGTAAACATTCATTGAGTCTATAGAGTTGAAAGAATTGCTATGGTCCCTGCCTTCAAAGAGGTTATGATTTAGGGGACAAGATAAGATATACAGAAAATAAGTATAAATCAAAGTGGAATATACTAAGTACTCTAAAAATATTATAAATAAAATACTATAAGAACTCAGTGGAGGGAGACAGTATTTCTAGAAAAGGCAGTGATGGTATGGTAGTTTTATTATTCTTAAAGCCTTGTAAATGTGTATCTAGTGATTTGGATTGGAGTTAGTGACAAAGTCTTTTAAGCTTTGGGTGGGATGAGTCATAGGAAGGACAACATGGTAGGCAGTTGTTTGTCCAGGGTTGGATGTGGAAATAATAAATAGTTATTATTTTATGCTAAGGAGGGAGAGCCCAGAATAGTACCTGGCACATAGTAGGGAGTCAATAATATTTGTCAAATTAATAGAATTAAATGATTTACTAGGGAGCTTACAAAGAAACATAAGGCATAGTCTGCCTGCCCAGCAGAATTTTACTATATAATTAAGAAGAAAAGGTCATATAGTTTTTATCTATTATTAAGTACCAGAGGAGTGATTCAGGCTCACTTTGAAGTGACAGAACAGGAAAATGTGTTAGACACAGTATATTTGGACATCAGCAAAGCATTAAAATGTCTCTAATGGAAGTTACAGAGAATAGTAAATTAGATAATAGTGGAATTTGGGTGCATTTCAAATGAGTGATATAAAACCCAAAGATTGCTAACCATTATCAAGCTAGAAAGAGATTTCAAATTGACTGCCATTGAACTTCTTTCTGATTGACATTCTCATTAGTTATTTAAAAACAGAAAAGATCTACTCATCAAATTCCCAGATGGCATGAAACCAGAAGTAGGGATAGGAAATAAGTGGATAACAGAAAAATATCTCTACCACCTGGATTGTATTTGTTAAAGTCCCTCTTATAGTTGTGTCCCATCCCCAAAAGGTTGTGCCGCACCCTGACCCCCAACTTACTCTCTCTGCCCCCTCCCCACTTGCTCATTCCCCAACCCCCCCCCTTGTATTAGCTCATCTACTGCCTTCATATTAGAGTTGAGTACCTTGGATTCTTGCGTCTCCATTCTCGTGATGCTTTACTAAGAAGAACGTGCTCCACCTCCATCCAGGTTAATAAAAAAGATGTAAAGTCTCCATCTTTTTAGTGGTTGAATAGTATTCTATGGTATACATAATACCACAGCTTGTTAATCCATTTCTGGGTTGCTGGGCATTTAGGCTGTTTCCACATTTTGGGGATTGTAAATTGAGCTGTGATAAACAGTCTAATGCAAATGTCCATATGATAAAAGGATTTTTTTTACTTCTGGGTAGATGCCTAGTAATGGGATTGCAAGATTAAATGGGAGGTCTAGTTTGACTTCTTTGAGGATTCTCCATACTTTCTTCCAAAAAGGTTATATTAGTTTGCAGTCTAACCAGCAGTATAAAAGTGTTCCTTTCTCTCCAAGTCCACGCCAGCATCTGCAGCTTTGAGACTTTGTGATGTGGGCCATTCTTGCTAGGGTTAGGTGATATCTCAGGGTAGTTTTGATTTGCATTTCTTGATAACTAGGGACTATGAGCATTTTTTCATAGGTTAGCCATTCATTCATCTGTCTTCTTTTCTATTCATGTCTCTTTCCCAGTGATATATGGGATTGTTGGATATATGTGATTCTTTGAGAACTTTTTCTTTTTTTTTTTTTTTT